TCTCTCTCTCTCTCTCTCTCTCTCTCTCATCATCATCAGTCTCTTATCCCTCAATTCCATCAGTCAGTGCAATCATCACGTGCCAGGTCGGCGCGCGCACACCCAACGCTCGCCCATGTGATCTTCGTACTCCAAAACGTGCTCACCACAAAACGAGGAAAACACAATCACAACCCACCCCTGGACAACGCAAATAACCTGTGTAGAAACTGCTAGTGCATACGGTCCAATACCCTGCTTCAACAAATTCCAACACAGTTTCAGCACGGTTCAACACATTTCAACAAAGTTTCAACAACATTCCAACAACTTTCAACAACATTTCAACAAGCCACCAACAATGGATCAACAGTTGGACCAACTGTTTTTCAACAGTTGGTCCAACAGTTGAACACACAAGTTTCGGTGTCCCCAATATACGGCCAGTGTTCGTTTCCTTCATTTTGTGTTGAACATACACCCCCCCCCCCGGCCAGCAGTTTATAAACAGTTGAAATGTGGTGTAAACATAGGTCCAACGTGGCAAAAAAATTGGCACATTTTTTCTGTTGGTTGCTTGGAGGAGGTTTCAACCCGCAAACAGTAATGCGGGCAAGCGATGAAAAAACATCCTGGAACTTGAGAGTGTCATCCGAGAAGTCGACAGCTAGAAAGCGCAGTTGCCAAAAGTCGATGTCCCTCTTTTTGATGGCACCAATACCTCAAGATGGACCAACAAGTTCGAGCAGTTGGGAAGTTGTTCTGAATGGTCGAGTGAAAAAATGTTTCAGATGGTGAAGCGTTATTGTTGGGTGGAGTATTAAAAAAAGGTGTTGGGACCAGTGCAAGCCTCGTGCGAAGGACCAAACTTTAAGGCAAAATTATTAGAGAAATACCAGTTGGGAGATCAACTGTTGGACCTTGTAAATTTGTGAAAGGTTAGCTGCCAGAAATTCGAAACGGTCAAACAACTTCTGGCATAATTCGAACAAGTTGCATGATTGGTGTCAGACCTTCTAGACAAGGACAGGTGTTTCATCTTCCTCGATAATTTATTGGAGGTTGAGCAACGTGAATTAATGAAGAATATAAGCGAAAGATGTGATTGGCCAAATATCAAAGAAAATTTGTTGGCTGAAAGCTTCAACCAAATGCTCTATCGCCTTATGAAGCAACAAAAGGAGAATCGAGAAAAGGAAGGAATGAGTGCGAATAAGGATTAGGTTGTCTACAAGACCTTGACCAACGTGAGGAATATGATGCTTGATATGAAGGAGGAAATATTAAAATTGGAAGTTATGATGACCCAAGCAAAAAAAGCCAAGAGGAAGCAAAAGACGTCAATCGTTGAAAAAGCAAGTAGCAGCAATAGTGAGGAGGAAAGTGAGGAAGAGGTGGAGCCTCTTTGAAAATTGACTAAGATCGAGCGAAAAAACTTGAATTAGATACGGGGAGGATAATGACAACATCGACAACCAAGCAGGGGTCTTTTTAGAGGGAGGCGTCTTAGCGTCAGATCGAAGCGGAATTACAACAAAACAGTCGAGAAGACTCAGACGGTACCCGTCTTGATCGCTCAAGTGAACGAGTTATATTATAAGAAAGAAAGAGAGTGGATGACGACAAGGAAGGAAAGGGGTGAAAGGAGTCATGTCGATTGACGGAGGAGAGGGTCAAAGAGATGATCATTGGTGAGGAAGGGTTTCTTACTGAGAAAGAGACAGACTTCCTTGTCAGCATCATGAAGAGGATTCATTTAGCCTACGCCTTTGATGATGACGAACGGGGCGGACTTGACGTTGACATGATACCAATGATCATAATTCATACGGTCTCACGCCATCCATGGAATATATGGGGTCCACGTTACCCAAATCCGGACGATCACCGCAAGGTCATCAAATACTTAGATGGCAAGATCCAGACGAGAGTCACCGTCTATTCATACGGACCGTATGCGTCCTCATGGTTCTGCTTCATCAAACCGAACGACTTGCTACGATGGGTTTAAAACTTGCAGATGTTGAACGCCTTGATAGTTCGTGACATAGGTGAACTTCCACATGTGGATCAGCTATCTAAGTCAGGCGCAAGTCATCTCATCATTACTCTTATCGATTTGTATTTTGTGTACAATCAATTCACATTGTAAACGACAGACAAACTAATGATTGCGATGCATAGACCAAAGGGATTGATCCATATGTGTTCGGCGCCTCAAGAATGGATGAACGTCGTATCAATCGCCCATAGGTATATGATGAGAGTCATGCAACCGCTTTGTCTAGACGTGACGTCACCATATATCGATGACTTGTCATCGATGGACAATATATAAAGGATGACACGGAAGTGTTGCCAGGCATTCAGAGGTTTGTGTGGGAGCATACTCGTGACATAAAGAAGGTCCTGCACAAATTAAAGGAGTATAACCTCATGGTCACCTGCGTCAAATCACGACATTATATGTGTGAGGCAGGGTTGTCGAGCCCCGGCCCCGGGGCCCCGGCGGGGTTCCGGGGTTCCGGGGGTGGGCACCCCCAACCCCGGCTCCAGACCCCCCCGCAAAAAAAAAAAAA